TATTCACCTCATGTCCACCTCTTTGGCCTTCCTTCTTTTATTCAGGCAATCCAATGTTGGCTTCTCATGGCCAACAGAAGCTTCAGCAGAACCCCCTCCCCCAACCCCCCAACTGTTTAACTAACACTCCCCACAGTCTGCTATGTCATACGTACAAAGATAAAGTGATGTTTGATGGGCCCTTGTAGATAACGCAATTAAGTCACTGGGACCCCCACAATGTGTCTCAGGTTCTTTGTTCTCTGTTTGTATTTGTGTTCAACTGGGACATGCAGCATAATAATATGAAGAAATTCTGCTTTCATAAAATTACTCATGGACACTTTGGATTAATATTGTCAGAGGAGTATTTTACTAACCGTATGCAGGCCGACCAAAAAAAAGTGTGGTGAGCATGTATTATGTTTCTTAAAACGTTGTATTGTTTGGATGCTATCGGAAATTAAAAACATTATGAAAAGCATCCATTTCGAAGGATATTGACGAAAAAAAAGTTTAGCATGCAAAAAGAATAAGCAGGCTTTCCAACCAAAACCGTATCCTATCATGGGCGATATTTGCAAGGGCAAATGAAGTTGCCAACACAACAATCCTGATCAACCTTTGATGACATCGGGTTCAGCTACTGGGATATTTCTCAGTGTTGGGTTGCTTTTACATTAACCACGTCAAGTGATGTAATCACGCTGCCGTAATCCGACCTCCATTGTGCAGGAGGGAAGCAGACAGAAAATGAAGCAGTTGGTGGTCCACGCCCATGGGAGCTTTATCTGCCCGACTTCATTGGAAATGTGAAACATATTGTGATAATGTTGCAGATATTAAAATAAATTAGTTCAAAACCATCTGAAGACATCAGTAGTTTATAAAGTGGATTTACTGTTAAACTCAGAGGAGGTCCTCGATAAGAGTCCCAAACGTAGACAATGCATCCATGAGGGGAAGTATTGAAGTGGAAAGAGTAATATTGATGATGTACAGATGTATCTTGTTGGACGATATGTTAAACTATATGGTAGAAATTTTAGCTGCAAAGAACTTAACAGAGCTCTGACTCATACTTGTTTTTATACACACACACACACACACACACACACACACACACACACACACACACACACACACACACACACACACATATACTTTATATATAAAAGCATATTTCACATGTTCAGCCCCATACAGTAATTTCATGCTTGGCTGATAACATTAAGTAAGCATCCAAGTACAGGAAAGTGCCCAGATATGTGAAAAACACAAAGTGAGTGTCACATTTGGTTTGGCATGCATTTTCCCACACAAACAGCCTCCACTTGCATGCAATAAAACGCTATTCACTATTCTGGCATGCAGGGGATCTGCTCTGGATATACTTAGATGTTCCTTGATCTTGTTGGACTGCCAACATTTTTCAGACTGTGAATGAGCGTTTGATAGAGTGCAACCTCCAAAGTCAAAAACAATACGCTTGCCTGGCGCGGTTTTGACTTCCAAATAATTCGAATAACAAAACAAGGTGTTCCACCTTCTATGACTCATCCTGCGTGAAATGTAAACTGAAATTATTTCTTCCAGAGTCAACTGTCACCATAAAAAAATAATAATAATAAAAAACATGGCATGCATGCTGCTGCTTAAAACATTTACATCATATGCAAACTACAAAAAGTGAAAAACAAACAAGACAAAAATAAAACTACCGGTACTGATCCTTTGAAGACATGTGAGATGAGGGTCTTTCAATCCTGTCATATGTCGCTGCAAAGTATTAGCTTTGTATTTAATTGTATGAAACTTTCTGACTCCTCTTCGACTGGTCAATCTTCATAGTTGACATACCTACTCCATAATTTGTATAATCCATATCGTACCACGTTTAAGGTGTTTGCGATAATTTAAGAGATACATTTGAAGATAGGATAATAATTTCGAGACATGAGCAACTGGCAGCCAGCGAGCCACATGTGGCTTGCACTAACTCTCAAGAGTGCCCCCTAAATTATTTGTGAATAATATAATTTTTTTCTCCAGTACCTGACCAGTTTTAAATTGTGATAACACTGTTGTGAAAAAAAAGCACCAAATGCACTTCCCATTGCTTTGCTGTTCAGCAGTTACAATACTACCATGCGTGCCTCATCCACAGATGACTGCACATTTTTATTTCAAGTCATTTGCCTCAACGAGAATAAAAACACATACAGCATCAGACAGACATGATCGTTTTAAGACCTGAGCTCCAGCCAAAATATTTTACCCACACAAAATAGACGAGCTAATATCAAACAACGCTGGCTATGCGGCGCAAGATTTACATGAGCAAAAAGCAAAGCACAATGCCCACAGGTGCATCACTTCATTGATCTCCCCGTAAACATGCCCCGTTGCTTCTCCATCATTCAGATAAAGCTCATTAGTGTGAGTCATCCTCACATCACACTGCAGCTTGTCCCTCCCTTATGTAAGAAGTGTAATAATGAGGTGTGTGTGTCAGATCTGTTATACCACAAATCCTTACTAATCTGAGTTCAAGGCCTTTAAAACAAATATATATATATATATTTATATATATTTTTTTTGCATATTTGATGTCAAATAAGAATTAACCTGTGTTGTAATGACCAAAAGAATATTTTAACACTCCCTTTGGCAGTCGGGTCACGTTGGGTTTATTTTCTTAGCTAACGAAGGTGCACTAGGTTATTATTTTCTTGGTCAGTTAAGAATCCTCGTGTTATTTTTGGGGTCCATCCAATTGTCTCTGGAAAGTCTTGATTCATCAAAACTTGGTATACAAGCAATGTTTTCTCAACATTTTAAGAATACCAACAGTCACACACGTGTAAAAATAAGTGAAGCATCATAAAATGATGACATACAGTATACAACTACCGTATTTTCCGGACTATAAATTGCAGTATTTTACATAGTTTGGCTGAGGATGCGGCTTATACTCTGGAGCCATTTATGTGTGAAATTATGAACACATTATATAATTTCTCATGTTATTTTCACATTAAACCGCAAGACAGCGCTCTGATAAAAACAACGTCGAAAGGGAAGCGCCGCATTTTCTCCCTCCGGAGTTTGCGGGGTTCTTTAAAAGTGACACAGAGGATGAAGATTTCATTGGATTTAGTAATTTGGAGTGACACTGTTGGTTTGGTAAACTTGTTAGCATGTTTTTTATGCCATACTGTAGTTATCTGAATAACTCTCAGTATGTTACGTAAACATACCAAGCACATTCTCAGTTCGTTGTTTATGCGTCTTGTAACGTTAGCATATCACACACTTATTCAGTCTGTTGTCTTCTGTCTTCATTTGCCTTTCAAGATGACATGTCTGTTCTTGGCGTTGGATTTTATCAAATACCCCCCCCCCCCAAAATGCGACTGATACTCCAGTGTGACTAAAATATGTTTTTTTTCCCCCCTTCTTTATGATGCATTTCATGGCTGGTGGCACTTATACTCAGGAGCGACTTATAGTCTGGAAAATACGGTACACAAAACTTTGACTGGACTTGTTTTTCGATAGTGGACTTTAACAGCTGTGAATGTGAGTCCGCCTCCCACATGTAACCAGGGCGCAGTCTTCTTTTTCTGACGTTCGTCTCCTGAACACCACTTGTTGAGGCTGCACCTATGTTTGGAATAAGTGTCGCCCAAAAAAAAAAAAAAAAAAGCTGGAGATCTGGAATCTTACAATGTTCATTGTATGTATGTTTTTTTAAAAAAATATATTCTAAAAATCTACTCCATGAACAGTATTTTAATCGCTGATACAGATAAGAGCAGCACAAACAGGCGTCATAGGTTAACCGGTCGTTGCTCAGTGGTAACCCTTTGGGTGACCGTGTAATAAATCAATGCGGGACCCTCCCACCGAACCACATCAGAACAAATGCATCGCACCAGAACATTAATTCCCAGACAGCCATGTGTAAACATGACAGGGGCAAGGAGCGGCGATGAGGGATGCTCAAGAATTCACTGGACGACCACAGATGATGGATGGAGTTGACTGGATGATAAAAATAAATAAATAAAAAATAATCAAGTCAAGTATCAAGTACACCTTTATTGTCAAATGTGACAGATGAAATTTCCGCCCTCTGAAACAGACAACAGACAAAATGTGTTCTTATTTTGTGTCATTTTGAATTTTTGGGCCTTAGTGGCGCTCTCTGCTCTATTATATATTTAATATAAAAAAAATGTTGAATTGATGACTGTCCATTGTGACTATAAATGCTTGTTTGTCTACGTTTGTCTATATGTGCCCAGCGATTGTTTGACATCCAGTCCGGTGTGTGCCTCACCTCTAGTCCAAAGGATAAGCCATCTAGAAAATGAAAGGATGGATGGACTTAACATAACACTTGTGAGGAAAAATGCAGTGTATATAAACCCCGTCCTCTGTTTTCAATTTCCAACAGAATAACAGTGGTTCCTTTATTAAATCCCCATTTACTCCTGTTTGAATTGAATTTTTCTCTTAATGCTCTGGAATGACCGAATGGCATGTCATTTGGTTCTCCAGTTTCTTACTACGGCTGGAATATCCCCCATTCATTTCTGAAAGGATGAAAAGCATTACAATGCTAGATATCAATCTTGCCTCGTTCTACTGGAAACAATAAATTTGACTAAACCAAGTAGATGCCTAGTTTCACTTCTGAATGTTTTCCGCTACAAATACAGTATTTTGGTTTTCCTTTATGTCATAGCAAAACTAATACATCCATTTTTCCCCCTCTGCTCACATTTACAATCGAGGTGGATCACATGTTACATGTTGACTATTCCTTAAAACTTTTAAGTTAAGTTAAAAGCCATCCCACCTTTTTATTGACCTCTTCGAGCGAGTAGCTACTGTAATCAATGGATTAATCCCGGTCTCGATCACATATCAGTGAGTTGTTTTATGCCAACTGGTCCACTGAAACAAACCGCACCATCATAATACCAGCCACGTGCACCTCAAAACTGAAAAAGCAACCCAGGGTCGATGTGAAAATCAAACCAGGTAGGAAAACGTTCATGGGAGTGTCAGAGATTATTCATGCCCCCGTGTGACAATGCCTCATCATTCACTCAACCTGTCTTTGTTTTTCCAGACTCGATGCTGCCCTGCAAAACCGGAACGCTGGAGTGAAGCCGCACGGCCAGATGCGTCAACTAGACTGACGAGCAGAGATAAAAGCAAAGGCTGACATCTAGTGAGTGCATAGTGAAGTGTAGTCTCGCTCGTAAATCGCAACGACTATTTTGGACCAGAAAACCCAAAATCATCTTTAAAGTCGATTTCATAAGATTTACAAAGATATCATAATTGGTCATTAAGAATTCAGTACTGTCATATAAAAAAGGAACTGGATTAGGGAACAGAAATGTGTAACATTCACTGTATATTTACATAATATACAGTTTCGGTATAATCCGTCTGCAGAAATGTAATTTAAAAGAGAAACATAAAAAAACAATGCCTTTCATTGTGACTTAATTGAAATATTTAATATTTCACCAAAATATTGGGCGTGGCGGGTTGATGACAAAATACCAGTTAAAGTCAATTTTTTACTTTTTTTCAAACAACTATAATGGTGTTATTTTAAATGTGATATATTTCCTTTGCAGGTGCATCTCTATTGGTTTGAATCTATTCAATTATCTTATGTCATGCTTCTCCCATGCGTGAGCTGGAGCGCATCCCAGCTGACTTTTGGGCGAGAGGCACATTGGTCGTCAGTCAATTCTGAGACAAACAACAATTAGAAATTTGAAAATTAGCGAAAATTATTTTGAATAAAGTTCAATTCCAAAAGTGAAACTGATATTCACTATTAAGATTCATTAAAAACACAGAAAAATACAGTAATTTTCAGAAGGTGAATTCCAACTGAATTTCAAAATTTAAATTTTTTTTTTTTTTTTTTTTTTGCTTCGTGTGCAATGTTCAAATATTTTGAGATGGTGTATTTGGGGTTTTCTTTAGGTACAAGCCATAAGTATCCAAACTATAAAAAGTGTAGCCATCAAATATTTCACTTTCTGTGTTGAATTGAAGGCATTCCCTTTTTCTCATTTGAAATGATGCAGTGAAATAAATAAGTTTTCCATGAATTTGAGAAGTACCTGAATACACAACACACGAACACACAGAAGGGTAAACATACATTGCCTCCACGTACAGTTTATCTTTTCAAACAGACCACTCTTTGATAAGATGCTCAACTAATTATAGAATAAACGGCATTGTGATGCAGGATGAAATGAAGCATAAAGAAGGGAGAATGCTGCCTTTGTTTTTCATTGGACTGATTTGGCTCTTGCAGCTTTTTGGGAAGCAAATATCTGCAGAGGCCTGTTCGGGTTCCTCTCGAAAAGGAACGCTTTCACTTTGGCTCAGAGCCTACATAATATGTCCTGGAAAGTGCTTTTTTCCAGCTCCAGCTGCTATGAAAGGCGTATTATAATTGTATAAAGTAGACGGGGACATATTGATGCAAGAAAATACTCGAACTCGTTTCCCTTGATTCACTGACTTATGTGACCGCAAGCATGTGAAAGTCGAAACATGACAAAAGTGAGAACGCTGACATCCTTTTCGGTCTTCCTCGTTATCGCAAACCGTTCGAAAGAGTGCAACTTTCTCCCTTCATCGTCCCCCCCGAAACAAATCCCTCGAGCCGAATAATGAGCAGTCAACACAAGGGGGGGACCAGAGAGTGGGAGAACGAGAGAGTTGAAATGAGGGTGACAAAAAAGAGTGGGTGTCTCCTTGGCGACCGACCCAAGCCATTTAAATCACTTGGCCCGAGCTGCTATTGAATCCAATGGCAGAAGCTTGAAGCTCAGCTTTGCTCGTTTGCTAGCAACATGAGCGGCGCGCAAGAGGAGCGAGCGATGACAGCTCACAGCCTTCATCTGAACGCAACTTTGGATCTGCACGATGAAGAGATGAAAACGGCGGTTTTTGGTCTGTTCTCCTCTTTTTTTGATCACGTACACCAGGGTTCGTCAACCTTTTTTTTCCAGTACTTCTTCCCTACAGATTAATGTAAAAAGCTACGAATTTGATACGCACATCAGAAAGAACACATTTGCTCAAAGTACTTTTATTTTTATTTTATTTTCTGAAGCCACTGATCGTGCTAATGATTCCTCAAACTAATCGATAACATTTCTCCATCCCAGAAGTCAAAGTTTTTGACTTAGTCATCATTGCCTTGGCCTTGTGCATCCTCCTCATCACGGCTGTCTACTGCATCAGTGTGTGCTACAACCGCAGCAGGTGATGCACACACATACATCACAGTGCATGTGGGCCACCGTTAGCTTTCTGCAATGCCATAATAATCATATATGCAAGGAGTGTCATTCAGAAAAGCGCAGACCTCCGCTAAGGCCGAACTGTTGACAACAGTGAATGAAAAATGATAGAACACAGTTGTATCTGTTTGTTAGTTTGTGCCATATTCCAATGATGCCCCAATGTCTCAACTGTGAAGAAGTCATTTTTTTGTGCATATTTATCCAGATCCCCACAAAAATTGAATGTGTTCCTTCTTAGCTCAAACACCACTCCATAAAGTATTGAGGACCGATTGAGCGACTGCAGTTTCATTTTTTTGTTGAGACCCCAATGTCTCAACTGTGAACAAGTCATTTTTTCTGCATATTTATCCAGATCCCCACAAAACTGAATGTGTTCCTTCTTAGCTCAAACACCACTCCATAAAGTATTGAGGACCGATTGAGCGACTGCCGTTTCATTTTTTTTTTGATTTTAGCTGGCCTTCTTTCAGAGAACAGAGGCAGCTAAAGACAACTCCAGAATCTATTACATCTATAGTAACCCACTGCCTGTTGGAGCCAAGGAGGATGAAGAGGGTACAGCCGAGGGAGTCACACTACCATCAGTTCTGTCCATTGAGGAGTACGCACAGAACCCCGACAGTGGAGTCATCCTGGACCCACCGATTTTTTACATGCAGCTTTAGGGATTACATTCTTATACGTGTGATATCTAGAGTCAAATTTACAATTGTACTTGTCTCAGTGATAAACATGACAGCCGTGAAAACACGCTGGTATTTTTGAGTCTCTGGAATGGTTTTGCAATCCTGTAATGACTTCATCAACAGCCAAGACGATGATGGATTTAGAGCTCAAGTCTACAAACCTTAATGAAGGAAGTTTGAAACGCGTGGCTCTTACGAATGATGCAGCTTGGAAACGATAACATTGATGCAGTTTTGGAGTTGGTCCAACAGTAGTCAAAGATCAGGACGTGCTGTTTGAGTTTCAGTTTTTCATTCCCAACATAAAACGGGATCTTTGAAAGTACACGTGCAGTCAGATAATTATTATGAAATATGTGCAGTATATTGTCTGTAGTCTACATTTACGTGAGACACTGATTTGGTTGTACATATGGTGAATGTGAATAAAATTACAGCATGTGTTATGCATTATCAATTGTCTCAGTACTGTATAATCAAAAATGGTTTTATAGCATGTTGGATGAGACAATGCATATCCTGTGGTGTAAGGATAGAGATCATCAGATATACTACCTGGATACTGTACATCTCAGTAAATTATATTGACACCAGCTGCAGCCAGCGACATAAAACATGTCTGCACAATCTATTGAGAATCAAAGAGCTGCAAAAAAAAAAGGTTTTAATTTAACATTATGTTCACTATTGTAAATGTAGTAGTGTTTTGCAGTTTCGTAGAAGTGCACAAGATGATGCTGAGAACTTTACCTTTTATCTTGCTGTGGTGTGTGCAGATTATTACGTCAAGGTAGTCATCTATTCATTTTCGACACCGCTTACTGTCATTGCAGTCATGGGTAAGACAAAACCAATCCCGGCGAACTTTGGGTGAGAGGCGGGGCCAGTTGCGGGTCGCATACAAACAAACAACCATTCAAACTAACATTCACACAGAGGGACAATTTAGTCTTAGAAAGATAACATGCATGTTTTGAGAATGAGGGAGGAAGTATCTGGAGTAAACTCACACAAAGGCGGAACATGCAAACCCCTCACTCTCAGTACTGTGAGGCGGATTTCCTAAATACTCCTCCATTGTGCCTCAGAGTAAGCCAAACAAATTAAAAATGTGGTTTTTTTTTCACAGCAGACCTAAAAGGAGCACCTCTGCACAGCATGTTGTTATGCACAATCCAATATACTGTATGTTTTTTTACTAACACCATATTCCAAACTTACCAAGACAGAAGTGATGGTCAAGCTAAGCTATAGCTTGTGATAAGCTGGTCAATTGACAGTTAAGCCTTTCATGCACTAATAATGACAAGCTATAACCTGATAACATGATAAGCTGTCCACTGTAGTAACCGCTGTCCCTCGAAGGGTTGCTCTATGCAAGACAATTAAAACATCGATTGATTTTCACTGATCTTTAATAAAACTCTTGATAGGATGTCATGTTAAAAAAGAAGCAACATGAAGGAAGATGAGAAACGTACAAACAAGGATCACTGCACAGCACTGGATGGCACAGTACGCTCGGCCAGGGTGGTCCCTCACACGATGGGTTGGGTCTCACGTATGAGCCACTCCAGCGCCTCCTTTCTGCCTTGACGCTCCAGCTCCGCCCCCACCACCTCGCGGCACGTCCTGTGGTACTCGTTCACCCAGTCCCGCTGTCAAACACACGGACACGCAAACACACTTTTAGCTCCTGTGGTACACGTCAGAATGACTCTTTTGTAAAATAAGAAATATTCGACTTGTGAAACATCAATTGCTCGGCTCTGAGAAGTATTGAAATGGTGTTGGACATGGTGGGTGATGTTTACCTCCTTCTGGGTGAGCAGCTCCGTGTTCATCATCTTGACTTGGATCGGAACCAGAGTCAAGGGCTCAAACGTCAAGCTACCTCTATTTCTGTAATTGTACTGGAGGAAACCAAAGAGAGTGTCATAGTTGAAATAACAACTGAATAATACCTGTACAAATGGTTGAAGAACCTGCTTCCCTTCAGTTTAAAGTCTTACTTTGGGCTTAGCTGGTACAACAAGAACCACATTTTCAAGTCGGATGCCAAAGGCTCCATCTTCATAATAACCTGGTTCTACAAATTAGAAAGGCAGGGAAACATGAGCGTGTTGTCATATATTAGCACTGCTATTTAAAAACTATATCAGCAAGAAGTAAGTGTCACTGATTTGCAGTATCAGTCGTAGTGTATCGATGCATACCATCGCTGACAATCATGCCGGCCTCAAGAGGTTCATCAGCGAATGTCTTGTAGCTGATGCCACAGGGCCCCTCATGAACATTAAGAAAGCAGCCAACGCCGTGACCTGTACCGTGCAGGTAGTCTAGGCCCGACTCCCACAGGGCGGCTCGTGCAAACGAGTCTAACAGGTGGCCTGGACAGGGAGAAGTTTATAGTCCAGCAGTCACATGTTCTTTGAGCCTCGGTTATTGTCCTCACATATTCATCCATTTTGTATACCGTGGATACGCAAACGAGTCCAACAGGTGGCCTGGACAGGGAGAAGAAGTTTATAGTCCAGCAGTCACATATTCTTTGAGCCTCGGTTATTATCCTCACATATTCATCCATTTTGTATACCGTGGATACTCATGAGGCTCATGGTTAAGCTGGAATCTATCGCAGCTGACTTTTGCACGTGAGGCTGGATAAATACCATGGACCCGTCAATACTCAATCCATAGGCGACACGCTCACATTTACTCCTATCTCATCTTTACTTTTTCAAATGAATGGAAATGTCATTAATTAATAGTATGATAGTTTCTGTCTACGTGTGTTGTTCCACCATATGTGTTTAAATATCCATTGGTGAAAGGCGGTAAAAACGTGACTGTGGATGTGAACTGTTTGCAATGGGATTTTCCATTTTTTGTTCTCATTTAGCTAGCGGGGCCTGAAGGCAACATTTTAAATCTACTGTACATTTAGTTTGACGGTAAATTTCAACTGTGAGTGGCATTACAGTTTTCTTCCGAAGGCTCAAGCACATTTTCTGTATCTACTGTACTGGCTATTTGTACTTATCTTGAAAAAAGCAAATAAGCCTTTCTTCACTCTTCATTCCTTTGTAAAAATGCTATTTTTGTGTCAAACAATTAGCACAAGCCATCGTATTAGTCAGCACACAGTGCATCAAATACATACTGATGGGAGGAATGAAAAAGACATCCGTTTTTTTTTGGCTTTCTCTGTGCGCAAGGTAGGCTATGTCAGTTTGAGCTCATACTTTTGTCATTGTTCTTTCAACACAGAGATCCAAATGTCAAGTATTTTTGTTCAAGATGTTTACGGTATTTAATGTAAACATCAAAACAAACACAAAACTGAGCTTTTCCATGTAACCCCTCGCCCCCCAAAAAAGACAACCACAGAATGGGAATGAACTGCTTTGTGCATGCAAACTAATATTAAAGTGGTACCTTTGGTTCCATTGGGGAAAACCGCAGCGCTGACGGCGATGTGTCCCTTTAGCACATAAGTAAAGCATTCCTTGAAGAATACAAAGAAACGGCGTCATTTCAGGCGGAACGCCAAGAAACTGCTAAAATTATAGTATTGTTCAAGCTAAAATTAGGTTCTGGCATGTCAAGTAATGTTCGCTGCAGTTGAATGCACCTTTTCATATGCAGATGGGGTTCCAAAGTGCACGGTGCGGGTGACGTCTGTGGTTCCATCACTGCCAAAAAGCAGACAAGTCAAACCACATGCCAATTAAGTTGTTGTGTGTGAACAATTAGTTTACATGTACTGGGCTCCAGAATCGATGAGGTAAACTTCGTTGACAGTGAGCGTTCTGTTGGTCTCAGGCAGAGGCCTACAGAGAAAAGAGAGGTCAGTTCTATAACAAACACACCGTGACCAAAACAAAACAAAAACAAACCCGAATGCATCCGTGGCTTTTCTGACCTGTAATGAATGATTGCTGCGTTGGGCCCAACACTGGAAATTGTAGGAAAACTAAGACCGACGAAATGTTTCTGTTGACTGCGAAAGATAAATCAGAATTGTAATTAGCTTTTTTTTTTTTTTTTTGTGGTGCTTCGAATAATTTGTTGAATCCATCCATCTCTAATTAGGGTCACAGGAAAGCTGGAGCTGAGATTCAAACCTAGAACTTCTGGACTGTGAGGCGGACGTGCTAAGCAATAAGCGACCCCCAAGACCACAATATTTTACATGCAGGCTATATGTATACAAAAAAAAAAAGTTGAATATATAAGCCATCCTGATGGACCCTCTTATCCAGAAGCCTCAAATAGACATTAGCAGGGAGGCTGAGCAGTGTGATCCACCTGTAGTTGGAACACACACTCCAGTCCCTCTTCTTACAGTTTTTTTTCCTAATGGCTGAAGCACATTTTTTTGCCACGATTCGATATTTTTGCAAAACGCTTTTGCTTTCTCTGTGCACAAGGTAGGCTATG